GGCTACTCTATTTTGTTGAGTATCTGTACATGAGTTATGATAGAGGATGCCCTTACTTATAGAAAGCTCGCCTAAAATAGAATTAAAAAATTCATAGCTATTATCGGTTTGAAGGATTTAAATTTGAAGTTTTGAATTGGGTTAAAATGAAGGTGTGAGTTTTTAAAGATGTCAGTAGCTTCATATTTATTTTTTAAGATATAGACTCGTTTCATTCAAGTGTAGTTATCAATTAAGGTAAGGCACCACCATTTATTAGTGTAGCTGAGAGTGCGAGAGGGTCCCCACAAGTTACTATGAATAAGATAAAAGGAAGTGAAAGGCATGTAAGGATGAGATGGATTAGAAACACAATGATGTTTAGCTAATTTACAAATCTCACATTTAAAGTTAGCAAGATTTTTATTTGTACACATTGACGGATAACATTTTTTAAAATAATGAAAATTAGGATGATCCAAACGATAATGCAACAACATAATAGGAAATTTAGTGGATCAAGAAAAAATGCAACTACCAGGAGAAGTATGTTTGTTCTTTGTGCCTCTCTTAAAAGAAATAGAGCCCATCTACTCATTTGACAGTTCCAATCATCCTCCCTAAAGAATGATCTTGAAAGACACAAACATCAAGAGAGAAGTTAGCAATGAAATCCATGTCATGTGTCAACTTACTATCAGACAACATGTTAGACTTCAACAGAGGGACATGTAACACGGATTCAGAAGTTAGACCAATTGTCAACACAACTGATCCTTTACTAGCAATAGATTTATAGGAGCCTTCAAAAATTTTAATTATCTTTCCCATAACATGGATAATATGTTGAGACAACTTGAGAAAATCGAGTCATGTGGTCTGTGGCACCTGAATCAATGATCCATGGACAAGAAAAAGAAGCGAGTGTCATAAGAGTGATACCTTGATGGGTCGGAAGTGAACTGATTGGATCTAAGAAGTTTGATTAATTAATTCACTTACTCAAAAGAGAGTTGCATGATTCCAGAGTGTTCTGAGTAGGAGCTGGTTGTGTTGTAGTGGATTCAAATACTATAGTGAGACTCTTGCTGGAGGAGGATTTGTCTAGAGGTTTGTATGTCGGTTTGCCATGAAGTTTCCAACACTTATTTTGAGTATGGTTAGGTTTGTGACAATAATCACAAGTGAAACCAATGGCTCAAGGATTTTGATGAGTATTAAATACTATTAGTGGCAAGGGCAGATGATTCGACTGAGGTGGAAGTGTCGAGCATAACAATTCTCTGGCTCTCTTTGCATCATTTTTTTTTGTGAAAGCAACACATGCAGAAGGGGATCCTAGCCAAGGATACTGCCCTGGACTTCATCAAGGTCTTTGTTAAGACCAACTAGAAATTGGAACATGCAATCTTTTTTTACAAATTTTTGAAAAGAGGGAAGGAACTACCGATGATTCCCACATGTAGTCATGGTATAAATCACATTACATCTATAAGGCCACCAAATTATTATAGTACTCGGTCATAGTTCGTAATCCTTGTTTTGTCTAGCTAATCGTTTTGGAAACTTCATAAAGTTGGGTGGAGTTCCCTACATTTGAGTAGATATCATGAACTGCTGCCCATTGGGCACTAGCAGAAGGGAGAAACATATATGAATGTCCAATTGCAATCTCCATAGAGTTAATCAGCCATGACATGACCATGAAATTTTTCACTTCTCATGCTTCATATGCCAGGTCAATTTTAGGAGGTTCACGAATCATACCTGTGAGATAGTCAAATTCCCTGCGTCTCTTAATGAACAAAGACACGGCTTGGGACTATTGAAGAAATTAGATCCATTCAATTTATGGGTGGTGATTAGGAATTTCATGTGGTTTTCTAGTCCAATTTGTGAAAAGATGAAAATCAGTGTCGATTCTCCGATGGACTCAAGTACACCATCCAGAGAAGTCCCGGTTGTGGAAGAGCTTGCCATGATTTCAACTGAGCAAAATCTTATGTTAAGTTGCCAAGACATAGGCAAGTCCTGGAAGCTAGACAAAGAAAGAGCAAGCGACTAAGCCAACAACAAGAATTTCCAGTGGGGAGGCAGTTCGACTGGTGCTCTGAAATCTAGCGGTAGTTTCTAATATCTGCTAGGCAGAATTCTAGTAGGTGGCTACAACTCAAGTAAATTCCTCAAGGACAACAAAATTCCTGTAAGGAATAAAGTGACACTAAGAAGAGATCTGACAAAAACCCTGTAAGTCAGAAATCCTGTAAGGATGACAGTAGTCTTGAAATGCAACTCAAGTGACGCTGAGATTTAGCAGCATGAAGGAATACAACAGAGATAATTTGTAAGGGCCGACAACTAGGGTAGAGGCTCTAGGGTTAGGACCATAGCTCTGATATCATGTCAAATTTAGAAATTAGAGCTGCATACTTTTATTGATAGGAAGAGGTGTATAAATATATATTACAAGTTCCAAATAAAAGAAAGACAAATTTAGAAAATAGATCAACAAGGAAATACATAAATATGAAAATGTAAATAAAACAAGCAAATAAAATCAAATAAAAGTAACTAATAATTGTAGCAGTAATTAGTTTAATAATTAGACTAATAATTCTAATATATTAAATTTGTTTAATTATGCTTATCACGTTGAATATGAAATAAATGACAAATACAAATAATAAGCTTAATTTAAATATCAAACATTTTTAATTAAACGTTTCTCATTTGAAAAGATTAACGATTTCACATGATAAATCTATAGTTTTAAATTTAACAAAATTAGTTTGCAACCATTTTTATCTTAATTGTAAACATTAAACTTCTATTTTATAAATCTTTTCCATGCATCTAAACCTTTTAAGCATTAACACTTCAAAAGACCTTCTATACCCATGTGGGACAAATGTCAAACAAAGACATATCTCTGAAACCCAATGATGCACGTCCAACTTGCTTAGAATCATGCCAAAAACATTTCAAAAGGAAATTAAATTTCAAAACAAGCCAGACAAAACCCGGGGAACGTGGTTAGCGCAACTTAAGAGAGCTCACAGAGCTTCCACAACCTTCTTCCTTTTCGTTGGCAGAAGCTTACAACCATAACTCTCCTTCAAGTGGAAAATACTAGAACTTATGTATTTTTAATATATTATTTATTATTAGAAAATATCTTTAGTGGAAATAGAAATTATATATTAAATATTATTAATTTATGAATTATAACGTAATGTTCATGTCATATCATCATCTACTTTTTAGAATGATGCAGATCACCATATATGTGCCTAATAAGTCTAAAATCTTTAAGTCTCAAATCTTTATTTGAAATTTTAAATATCTTAAAAATATCTTAAAATATGATATATATATATATATATATATATATCTCACTTCTCAATCTTCACACTTCAAACTCAAAATATTATTAATTAAGTAAAATATATATACCCATAAATATTTAGGTAGTTGAAGTTCTAACTAATCATCAAGCTATTATTTTAATTAATATTTTTATTGTTTGTTATTCATAAAGAAGTTGAAGATAACTATAATTAAAGATTAAGAAAATTGGAAGAATGTGTATGTGGTTGATACATTGACATTTCTGCAGAAATGCATACGGTGTCTGATCTCCACAGAACATCAAAAAATTTTTTTCTTAAAAAAAAATAATAAAAATGAGGTCCACCGAAATACATCTTTATTGTGATGAACGGTGAAGAGCAAACACCGTATGCATTTCTACGTACGGTGTTCGTATGGAATAAGCTATGCAAACATATGATCCATAATTATATAATTAATTAAATAAGTGGAATATAGAATATTTCTTAAAAAAGAAATATAAACAAGAAATCAATTATTAATATATATATATATATAAACAAGAGATCAATTATTAAAAGTTATATAATGAAATGAAAAAATTAATGTAGTTATTCAATTATAATTTTGAACAGTTATAAAAGTAAATTCATTCAAACTTGATATTCATTATTCTTGAATGCTTCGTTATCTTGCGATTACAAAATAAAATCTTAATGCATATTGTAAACTAGAAATGACCTTGGATTGGCCGTTTGCGCTTAAATCTATGCCCAAATGATGAAACCTCTAGGCTAGCCAAGTTGAAAGAAACTATCATCACTGCCACGGTTGCAAGCATATGATTAGCCTAGAAGAAAATACTTGACAAACCATAAGATATTATAATAAAACACTAAAAAGTCACAGATTAGTCCCATGGACTTATGTGGTCAACATAGCACAAATCTACTCACTAAATGGTGGATTACTACTACGATTTCGGATGGATTTGGAGTCATGATAAATCTCAATTTTTGTGTGTTTTTATTGCTTGTTTTTAAAAATACTCAATATAATTTTTAGATAAAATTGATCCCAACTTTTCTAGTGTTTTTAAAAACAACTAAACATATTATGATATATTAAATATGTTTTATTTAAATAAAATCATATCTAAAACAAAAAAAAATAAATAAAAAAAGTTGATCCTAAACAACCCAAAATTTGGCTTTTTTCTCACCTACAAGCATCCCTACTTCATGTCCTTAATTTTAGTTCAACTTGCTTGATGATACTGATTTACAATGATTGATAAAAAAATGAATGGTTATCTAGAGTTAAATTTCAAATCCTCCAAAACATCAAAAAGAGACAACTGGCCTCCTGAAGTTTGTGATTTGCTCAAATGTTAGACGTGTCCATGGTTAGTCTTCAGTACTCATTTGTATATTTTGTATTCATAATCATTTGTGTATCAAGCGTAAATATGTCATTTTTAGTTCTCATCATTCAAAAAATAAATAAATAAAAAGGAACAGGTTCTTCTCTGAAATAAGATATATTGTATTACATGGAAGAACTGGTAACCTGCTACTGATCATTGGCAGGTAGCATGGGGAGATTCCTAAAGTGAACAGTATTGCAGTGCAAAAAATTGGCACAGGAAATACAATTCTAAACAATTTCAAGAAAATCAATAAAAACATGGGGAGATTCCTAAAGTGAACAGTATTGCAGTGGAAAAAATTGGCACAGGAAAAACAATTGTAAACAATTTCAAGAAAAAAAAAAAATCCAAAGAATCAAAACTGATGTAGACCATACTATGCACAGGTAATAGTTTGCAGGCTCCTTCATGTTCTTACAACTGATGCTCTGAGAACTTGCAATTTCCATTAATTACCAAATGCCACAAAGCAGGAGCCAAAGCTAGGGAAGACAGAATGAGGGACCAGAAAGACCAAGGAGGCCAAGATCACTTCTGAAATTGTCCCTTCTGAGGAAGTGAAGCTGCCATAGAGCGCAATCTATTGGCTATCTCTGTAAAGCTTGGCCTCTCAGTTGGTTCTGCAGCCCAGCACTGCTCCATTAATGCTCCCCACTCAGGATCACATGAATCAGGCACTGCAGGCCTTAGAGTGTTGCTCACAATTCCACCTATCAATATTAAATTCAAGGTAAGAGAAATGGAAAGAATCAACCATTAAAATCAAAAGAAAATTACCTATAATTGCACCATAGTGTAGATCTGCGTATGGTTCCTCGCCTGTAAGAAGTTCCCACATCACGATACCAAAAGAGAATACATCAACCTGGGGTTATTGTACACTGGAAATTAGTAGGTATGAAGAAAATAGAATTAATACATCCATGCATTATGAGAGCTTCACTTCACCTTCTCGGAGACTAGATTGCTGCTGCCATTTAAAAGCTCAGGAGCCATCCAAGGGAGTGTTCCGCGAACACCTCCAGAGATGAGTGTGTTACATTTCACTTTTGACAGGCCAAGATCTCCAACCTGAAAATAATCAAGGCATAAGTAAATAAAGAATACATATGAATCCACAAGCCAAATTTGAAGTTTTAAATCAGCTGCAAGAACTCGAATTCCCTAACTATAGATACTGGTAGTCTTTTGGACGCAATCCAGAGGACCAAAAATAAATCAGGATATAATTTAATTTATGATATATATACAAAAACATATTAGAGGAGAAATTATTTTATGTTCAGCACCACCGAGGAATGCGTGCTAGCTTATTGAAAATTATTTTTGGTAATTTTATAGGGGACAACTCATTTGCTTTCGTGAATATAGATTTATTGTGGACATTCTATTGAACCCATTAATTGTATTATTATTTTTAATATTAGCAAATCAATGATTTGATGATGAAAAATCTCCTGCAGTATCCTCTAATGATTTCCTGAGTGTTAAATAAGTTATTCAGGTACTAGCTGAACCACAGCAATATGACCTTAGCTTTATGAGCCTGTTTGGATCTTCTACAATTGATTGAGTGCATGATTTATACTGAAGATGTCATGGATGATGAATAAAAACTAATATAAAATACATTTTGTTCATAATTATCCAAAATATAATTTCGATACAATAAAATTAATATTTTCATTTCTTAAGTTTTATTTTGCTTTGCTTCATACATGCTAAACATTATTCGTCATATAATAGTGATAATAGGATATATTTGCAAATTTTATAATATTAGGACTTCTTTGGCATATTTTTTATTTTCTAAGAAATATGTTTATACTATTTTAATTCTTTTTTTTAAATAATTAAAATAATTTTTAGGTGTTCTGAATATTTTTAAAAATCACCACTACAACTTGCAACAGCAATGGTCGTGGCCTCTTTAGCAACCGCTGCAGTCACAATCTCACTAGCAACCACCAACACCGTCATGTCATTGTTTTCAACTCATTAGCAACTGTCGTCGCCTTCATTGCTTCATAGGTCGAAATCGCTGCCCCAACCCGCCAGACCGAAGGTGGCCTCCACCACCACATAAATCAACTTATTTGATATTTAGCAAAAGTAAATGCAGGCTATAATTAAGATACCAGTGTGTTTTGTTTCAAATACATCCTTATAACCTTTGAAGGAGAATAATTCTACACATATTTCTGCGAGGGATTTGTGGCAAGTTTCATTGTTAGCAAATTTGTGTGATCATAAGTTTCATAAAATTCAATTAAAATTTACCAATATTATTTTAAATGCTAATTGTTGATTAATTATTATAATATGTTAATCATAATTAATACTTGTATTTGATAAAGAATTCGAGTTTAGTTTTTATTTCATTAGATTCATTAAATTGTTTAGATTCAATTTCATATATAATATCATAGATTTATGTTATAAAATGATATATATGCAAGCCACCATTAGTTGTTTATGCAGCCCCATAAAATTATTGAGCACAATGAATTTTTAGTTTAGAGATTCATGAACCACCACTGGGTGTTGTGTGCTACCGCTAAGTGGCAACCACTAATTTGTGTAACAACTGATTCATAGAGCCATAGTGTTCTGATGAATTTTTGCTTAGACAGATTGCATAGTTTTGAACCATCATTCATCTAGTCCTTTGCTTATATATAATACATCCTTATAACCTTTGAAGGAGAATAATTCTACACATATTTCTGCGAGGGATTTGTGGCAAGTTTCATTGTTAGCAAATTTGTGTGATCATAAGTTTCATAAAATTCAATTAAAATTTACCGATGTTATTTTAAATGTTAATTGTTGATTAATTATTATAATAAGTTAATCATAATTAATACTTGTAACTGAGAAAGAATTTGGGTTTAGTTTTTATTTCATTAGATTCATTAAATTGTTTAGATTCAATTTCATATATAATATCATATATTTATGTTATAAAATAATATATATGCAAGCCACCATTAGTTGTTTATGCAGCCACAAAAAATTATTGAGCACAATGAATTTTTTGTTTAGAGAATCATGAACCACCACTAAAGTGTTTGTGTGCTACCGCTAAGTAGCAACCCACTTATTTATGTAACAACTAACTCTTAGAGCCATAGTGTTCTGATGAATTTTTTGCTTAGCCAGATTGCATAGTTTTGAACCATCATTCATCTAGTCCTTTGCTTATACATAATACATCCTTATAACCTTCGAAGGAGAATAATTCTACAGATATTTCTGTGAGGGAATAGTGGCAAGTTTCATTGCTAGCAAGTCAGTTGTCTCCAACCTCAAGTGAGGTCAACCGTTTGTTCGGTATGCACTCATGCCTCAATCTACTTGATCCAGTAGATCAGAGCCCCGGCTAAGATATACTTCTTATGACCCTCCTCTTTGTTTGCTACAATGGGCACCACATTACATTAGGACTAATATTTACTTTTCACCCAGGTTTAGGTATGGTGGGCATGACTTCGAGCACTCTCCACTCTGCAGAGAGGGAGTGATCTTTTTTTTTTTAGAGCACGCAAGGGGTTCGTTCAATCATGTATCGTCGATCCCCATCTTTACTTACGTGATTTGGGCTCTAGAATTTCAAACCAACCCATATGTCGTGGGCCAAAAACCCCTAGGCCTCGATTACTGTCCCTTAGTTGGCTACTTATATTGATCATGCTCATGACACCCACTTGCATGGATGCGGGCTTTAGACATTTAGGTATACTTTCTAAAACATTTTTAAGATATTAAAACACACTGAAAATTACATTATTCTAAATCCATAAGCCTTAACCACTCTACTAGAACTCAAAAAATTCACTCTTAAAATACTCATGGCTTAGGTGTCCTTGACCACAACTCCCTTCCATCAATTTAAATTGTCTTAGCTCATAATTCGCATTAGTCTACTCTTAGGTGACACCATTCTTGACTAGTGGCATGCCTCGGATATCTCATACAACATTCGAGTATTTTTTTCCTTTCATTTCAAATCCACATAGAAAAACAGAAGTAGACAAAATATAATTCCACTAGTTAGTTCCACTATGCTTAGCTACCTTGCAGAAGCTTTTTACTCGTCATGACTCCAGTTTAGTCAAGTGAATAGATAAGATCTTGTAATCATTCATGCCTTTGGACCAGCTAATTGAAAGCCTGAGCTTATTCCAGTCTATAAGTTTCCTAGGGACTATCCTACATAGCCTTAGAACCCTTTTAGGAAATCCTAAGCAAACTAGTCATCCCACTATAGGATTCCATTAGTAAATCTAGACCAAACTAGTGGACCCATCCAACAATTGGTTTTAACTTAGCCTGGTTAAGTATATGTGACCCGATTTCTTTCCAATTAACTCCAAGTGACACTTGCATAGATTGGCAGACTGTCCCAAATAGCCTTAAAGAAAGCTTAGGCTACCGGGGTAACCATGGCAATCATAGGTGATCCCTCTTGATATTCAGAATAGCAAAACCCAAATCACGTGGGCTAAGTTTATTCTCAAAATCTCTTCTAAACGTGGTAAAGCTTGGAAATTTGAAGCCTAGAATATTTGGAGTGGGATCAAATCCATTCCTTAGTAGTGAAACCCTTTAGCATTCACACTCATGTTCTAGGGAGTTAGGGATGGACCACTGTTCACTTCTTCAGTATCTTTTTACACCCAAGTCAGGATAGACTGTTTTCATCACATATGGGTCCTTTATAACTCTTTAATGGTGGAATTTATTAAATCATAAAAAATATAATAAATTAACAAAAATCATTAATAATTTAAACATAGACCACGCTGAATAAAAAATTTGAACATCACATGATCAAATCTATAACTTGAACAACAAATTTATCCATAACAGCTTAACACACACTAGATGATGTGATAGGCACCTATAAGCATCATAGGGCTGGGGTGTAATTAGGCTCTTTTCTTTTATACATGATTTGATATGATATGATGTGTTATTTGTTGTTATATTTTGTGAACACCAGTCTTAATAAACTAGAATTGAGACATTTTCTTGCTAGTGGTTAAGACAAAAAGGGGCGATTAACAGTTATTAACATAGTTGTTCTGCACGCAGAAGAGACTATGCAAACTAAGCCCTGAGCAAGTATGGCCTATAGAAATATAGCTTGGCACCAATCTGTGTTAGACATTGTGTATTGTTTGAATACATACACTTTCTTCATAACATCTATTTTGTTGGAAAAATGTTGTAAGTTTTTTTTATAAAATGTAATTTTAGCCCAAGTGAACTAGGCCAGTGAGATGCAGTACGTGGATGAATTAGAAGAATGAACCTCAAAATGAAACCCTGGTGTACCACAAAACAAAGCTTAAAGACCCCTAGGCCAATAGATTCAGGGGGTTTGGTACACGTTCGACCGCACCTAATCAATTTAGTGCTTACTTTGACCGTTAGTTTAGAAATAGATTATTGTCCTTCAGTTTGTTTAATTATTTGTGCTTGACCTGAATTTATGTCTACTTTAGGCTCCTAAGATGTTCAATTGTTAAATTACACAATGAAACAACTAATTTACCTAAAAGCAACCATAGGAAAATCTTTTTTTATTAAAAAATTATTTAAACGGCTCCCAAAGCCACTTTCCTAAAATACTTAATCTTTAGCCTCTCTATCGAACGCTAGATGTGCAGACAAATATTTGGCCAACTTGCCTAGTTCATTCAAAATGTGCTTCTTTAGGTTAGCGGAAAATCTCTAGACTAACGCATTCGTATGTATAGCCTAGTTATTCAGTATAATAGAATTGAGAATTTTAAAAATTTTATAAAAAAAGAAGATTTACATATATACCACTCAATTATTATGTATTTACATATCTGACATTATTTCAATTTTGACATACATGCCACTTTTCCTAAGAAAAATGATATTTCAATTTTGACATACATGCCACTTTTCCTAAGAAAAATGAGTATTTCACATTTTAAAAGTTAAAATGATGGTATTTTTATGTGATTTGAAAGATTTGGGAGGTAAAAATCTTAAAAAATTAAACTTTAGGTGTTAGATACATAAATAGATAAGAA